ATTGAAAACCATCGATGGTACATTGTTCGTCAAACACATAGTTCGCTATATGAGGTCACTGATACCAGGTCAGGTCACAGGTCAGGTCAAAGAGGTCAGGTCACTTGGGGTGACAATATGAAAGTGCCGTGTGATACATGTTTTATGGTCCATTTTACATGACAAATGCGATTATGCGGGTCAGGAAGCCTTTGAGGCCAGCTTAGGTCACGTTTTGGTGAAGGTCAGGTCAAGGTCAGGTCAAATTAGGTCAAATTTCAAAGTTGATATTTTTGCATAAAATGGGTATCGATTCGATGCAGCTCGTCACGGGGAGTCCAATGGTGGTCTTTATTTTGCCCTACGTAGTCTAGAATTGCCAAAAATTGAGTTTGAAAATTTGACGTCATCATTTTTGAACAGTCTTTTCGCTATAACTTGGCCAAAAAACGAGATATTAATTGATCGCCATCTCACTTGGGACTCGCACGTATCGCAACTGTCACAGAAGTGCTTCGGCATCCTTATCGGTCTCTCCCACATCCGCCACTACCTACCATCCGGCACTCTCCCAATCCTTGTGTCTGCCCTCGTCCTTTCCCACGTCCGCTACTGCCTCTCCGTCTATGGCAACGGGTCTGCCAAGAACCTCGCCACCATCAACAAAATTCTAAATTTTGCGGCCCGCATCATCTCCGGCAAAAAGAAATTCTACCACATCTCCTCTGTCCGTGCCTCACTCGGCTGGCCGGACCCCTCCACTATGGTTCAAGCCCAAACCCTAAACATCCTACACAAAGCTAGACGAACAGGTCAGCCCGAGTCACTAGCTGCACTATTTGCCACTAATGCCGAGCGTCCAGACCGTAGCCGCAGCACCAGGCAGGACCACCTGCTTAGTCTTCCCCGCATACACGGCTCGGCTGCGGGGAAGCGGCAATTCGTGTACCGCGCTGCCGCAGGCTATAACGCCCTACCACGCGAGTTCTGGGACATGTCCACCTCGATGTTTACCAGCAAGGTCTTAGAACTCTTATCTTCGGTGACATGAGCTGACACGTCGCTGTAACCGCTTTTAGCTTCTGCATCGTGTGTGTAGTGTGGTTTATGTGTGTTCACTTTTTATCCTCATCATTGCATTTCTTAGCGTGTGTTGACTCTGACTCGAGAATAGCCCTGTGATTCCGATCTCATGAAGGGATGAGTCTATGACGTAAATACAATACAATGCAATACAATACAAACTTGCAATTTGTACCCTTGACCTGACCTTGACCTTGACCTCAAAGCTCAAACTTTAAATTAAGTACATGTTTTAAGTTGTTCGTGATGAGATCTTTCGATTGGCGTTTGAATTTTCCAAATCGGACCATTAGTTCGGGAGATAACAGGGGGGGGGGGGGTAAAAGTTACCCACCCCCAGCCCCGCGCGTTCGGCTGGAGACCCCAGTCCCGCGCGGGTTAAGAAGGCCGACTGGGCGTCTTTCCAAAATTATATAGCTCAGTGGTCGGCAGGTCATTCGGGGTCGTGCCCCCTTTAAGGGCGCCAGGCAGGGCCATTACCCCACCTACCAGACCCCATTGCTGACACAACCAAGTTTACTGAAATTTCATACCGTCCTGGAACTCTTTAGGTATTTGTGCATTTCCAATGCATCAAATTGTAAACATGACACTTCCTCCACAAAACATTTAATACCTATATCCCAGTAGCGGCGGAACACCTTCAATTAAGGGGGAGGGGGGGGGGGGCACTGCCGGCTTTTGGTCCCATTCTTTCCATGCAACGCCATAGGGCTAATGTTAACCCGCGCCCTGCTGGGGGTCCTGGATTTCCACGCCCTGCTGGGGGGGGTGTTTGAACACCCCCCCTTGTAACTCGGCTCCTGGGCCACGTAGCGATACGCGGAAGGCGGCGTTCGAAAGAGCGTCAAAAATAATGACGAAATCACTTCGGTCAATTTTTTGGTCAGGTCAAAGGTCAGGTCACCAGAGGTCATGGAAGGCAAAATTTCGCCGATTTCCAGGTCGAATGTCGAAAATTTCCAAGAAGCCAACGCATAACTCGGGAACCAATAGAGCTACAGCGCCGCGGAAAAGCGCGTTCGATAGCCCTATTAACGCCCTTTCTGAGTAATTCTCTCAGATTTGACCTAACGTCAACGGTTTTGCCTGCAGGGGGCAAAAACTGCAAAAATAGCCGATTTTTTCGAAAACAGTTTTTCTGCAATAACTTTTGACCCAAGCCTTGTACGAGCTTACTTTTACCGGCATCGTGCTCCTCTCGTCAAGACGCATCGAATGAACTATAACTTGACCTTGAAAGGTCAACTTGAAAATTTGACCTCAGGTCAAGGTCATGACCTGACCGGAAAGGGTCATGTTGCATATCAGTCGATCCGTATCGTCGAGCTGAACACATCTAAGGCGTTTTCATCGCTCTAGCATGCCTCTATCAAAAGTTATTTGCGAAAAACTGTTAGATACCATTCGTGACCTAAGATGACCTCAGGGCATAAACAAGGGTCACGGACACCATTTTCAAGTTCAGTGTGTCTAAACCACTTGTAATTCGGTGTTTGGGAGTGTTTATAATGTATTTCATCCAAAAGAGGCGCATTTCAATTTTCTCCCATTGACTTATAATGGGGAGGTCGCAAAATTGACCTGACCTTAGGTCATAGATATCAAAATTCTGAGATATACATTTCGTACATGCTATTGCTCTTAGCAATCGCTGAAAGTTTCAAAGCGATCGGTCACTCGGTGTAGCTATGACAGACATTGAAAGTTTTTATGAGGTGAGGTCACTTTAAGTGACCTGGTGACCTGACCTTGAATGACCTTGGTCTGAAATTTTCACAACATGTGTAGAATTGATGTATGATAAGGTGTACCAAAAACGGCGGCGCTCCGCGCCGCCGTTTTTGAGATATTCACGAAAAACCACAAGGGGGGGTGTTCAAACACCCCCCCCCCCCCAGCAGGGCGCGGGTTAAAATGCAAAAATCAAAGGGGACACGGTGCCCCGGTGCCCTCCCCGTTCCGCCGCCTATGCTATATCCCATTTAACCCTTGTACGTATAGGGGTGGCGGATGGTTTTTCGTTAAAAGCTCACGTAAAAGGCATTGGATCACGACCAAATTGTACCCTCGAGCCCATCATTTTTTTTTTTTTTTTACCAGCCCGGAAAATATCATGACCTGAGACCAGTTTTACCAAAAGAAAAATAACCGCCTGCCGGAATTTTTGCCTCAAGACCGCTTCACATACGGAGCGTAAACGCGATGGGCTCGTAAGCGGATAGGGCTTTACCGTTTACGCTCCATATGTGAAACGATCTTTAGGCAAAAAATTCCGGCAGGCGGCTATTTTTCTGTTGGTGAAACTGGCCTCTGCACCCATAATGACCGTTGGCTTATGAGCTTTTTCTGGAGATCATCTTGAGCCATAAATTCTCACTTCAAGAAGTTATAGCGGGTTCTGATTTTCTCGACACTTGTCATTGCCCTCTTGAATGAGACGGAATGACCAAGGACCTTAACCCTCGCCGGCCGAGGGGGGGGGCGGGTGCCGCCCCCCCCCATAGGGTTTTTTCGCGATAGCTCCGAACACGCTGGCGATAGAGAGCTGAAACTTGGCATACCTGACCTTTGATCCAAGCCGCATCTTTTGACACCAACCGCATTTTTGGGTCAGGTCAGGTCACTGACCTATGACGTCATAAGTGAACCTCTGCACGGTCTTCAGATGTCGCAACTTCGCAACGCCCTCACTGCCAGAGGAGATGTCACAGGGAAATGAAACTTGCAGGATCTAGTATCCATTATGAGTCCCACAACTTGTATATCTCGGATTTTTCCTAAAGGTCATATGAGGTCAGGTCATTTTCGTGACCTCACCATTATAAGTCAATGGGGAAAAATTCAAACTGCTATTCTGGCGCCGGGAACGATCTCCAACTATCTCAAGCACACAGAATCGTGATTTGATGCACTCCTTGCAAGGTTAGATGCGTCACTTTTGCAATGTTGACCTTGCGTGACGTCATTTATGACGTCATCAAGGTCAAATTAGGTTTTCGTCAATAACTCTTGATCAAATTGAGCTAGCGAGTCGGGGAAGGCACCAATGGACTCAGGAAGGCCTGCCGAATCGAATGATATGCGACATGACCTCTTTCGACCAACTTCGTGACCTGGGGGTGCTGACCTGACCTTGACCTGAGGTCAACACCCCAAGTTGACCTGACCCGGACAAAAAGTATATCATTCGACGCGCCTGAGCGAGGCGAACACGATGCTGCCAAAATCGGCGCTCTGCGGCCGTTTTTTGCGAAGTTATTCACCAAAAACTGAACCGTACCTTGGGGCACTTGACCTGACCTCAGAGGTCACCGGTTGACCTAGGACCTTAAAATCGGGTACCAATCTCTGCGTCTCGTAACGGCGCACACGCTCGTTTTTTCCGCGACGCGCTAGCTCCACCAGGGGCGAAACGGCGAGGGGGGGGGTCGTACCCGCCCCCCCCCCCTCGGCCGGCGCGTATGTAGAAAACCAATAGGTCCGGCGAGGGTTAAAAATGGGCAGCAGCGGCTTCCTATTGTCACGGGTAGCACGCTCGTCTTTTTTATGCACAGCTCCATCTCAGAGTCCGAGAGGCCGCGGGGGTCCGATCGACTCCTCCCCCTTACGTTAGCGGCTGTTGAAACGCCAACAGACGGGCGACGGTTAAAAGTTGCAGCTGCTTTTGTACGACTGTACGGAGGGGTGAGATGGTGAGGCGAGCAGGTACATGAAAATTGGTATCTAATCAATGTGTGCTGTGCCTTTGGCCTGGGCTAATCTTTGAACCCTGGGATGCAACAGTCACGATGGCTCCATCACTGGAGCTACAAACTCTAAAAAGATAGGCTTTCTCAGAATCCCTAATTACCCATACCGAAAGGGCTCCATTACCCCCAAAGGGGGCATGCCCCACCATTTGCCGACCCTTGATATAGCTGAATCCTTGTCTACACTTGTGGTTTATTTGTTTATTTATTTCATAACAACCACAGGCCGAGGCCCACATTAACCCTCGCCCGCACATGGGGGGGGGGGGGTGGTGGTTGCCACCCCCCCCCCCCCAGGTAGTCTTTCTGCTCTGCACTCAACATTTTTAGAGCTAGAAGGCTGATTTTTCGTATAGCTGCTCCTCTTTCCTTTCTTGATGTTCACTGAAAATTTCAGGTTTGTAACTTTTGGTTTCGGAGATATGACCTTGTTTTTCAGGTCATGTCATGACCCAAATGGCCAATTCTCGACATCTTGCGTTGGCTATGGGCCTTGTGAGCTTTTGACACCTTGATTTCGGCCTTTTTTACCAGTCTTACCTCCCACCTATCATGGAACATGTTGTTCGACGATGTACAGATGTCAAGGTCAAGGTCAAGGTCAACCTAGGTCATCTAAGATAATTACGTTTTAGGCAAGCGGAATTTACTTTTTGTGAAGTTTTTTGACTGCATTTTTGGTAAAAGCTTCTCAGATCATGATTTCATGTAATATGGACACATATACAATCGGTGCACACATCAGTATACACACAGACACACACAGACATACAAACACATATAATTGACCTTGACCTAACTTGACCTGAAATGACCTCAGCAGCAAAAACCTGGTCGGGTAGTGCGAGAAAGAGGTTCTAGCTGGCTTGGCACCAGAAAACGGCATCGTCATCGGTATATGATAAGCAGCGCACTTGATATCAAACGGTGACCCAAAACAGCAACATTTTTTAGTTTGACCTGACCTGGAAGGTCAATGACTGACCTGAGAAGGTAAAACTGGGTATCATTGGATTTGTCTCTTCCCAAAGAATCTTTTTGGTCTTTACCGCTAAGCTCTATCTCCAACAGGATCGAAATGGCGCGAGGGGTGGCAACCCCCCCCCCCATGTGCGTTCTAGGATGGGAAAATGGCATGTGCGGGCGAGGGTTAAGGCTGCAGTCGCAATAAAATTTCCCATCCCAGCCCCTCAGGCATTCAACCCGCTCCGTCCTCCCTCTACACACATACAATCCCCTCCCAGCATACATACACATTCACCAGACGCGATCACAGAAAGTAAGTAGCAAAGAGTACTGGCTGACATCAGTCGATATCACTCATTAAAAGTGCCCTGACTACTCGCAAAGCGGAGCAGTAGTGCTCTCCAATGACATGACGGCTGGAAGAAGTCGGCCTCCGAATGCTCGTGTAAGAATTTGTTTAGTTGGTTGGGTAGTCGAATAAACAAGCCACACTTCACAGCGTTAACTCTGCCAAATGGGACATGAAAAGGCCTGTGTGCCGAGAACGCCTAACCTGAGTGACAAGGCTGAATTTCGCCACCAGCTCGTGACAGTCAATCCGGCCGCTAAAGATAGAACATTAGAACGCATAAAAGTTATATCGGCCTGTGTCATGCGTGCCTTAATTGACTGACATCTAAAGTGATTTAAAAGGGATTGGTAGTCCATAGAAGGACACCTACCCTGTGTTTTTGCAGCTAGCCACATAACCCGGCAGTTGCTGGGGTATTTCGCCACCCACCGTTTGCTGGGGGGGGGGGGGGGCGTTAAACGCCCCCAGCCGATAACTCGAGAACCAATAGGCGCAGCGAAACGCACGAGGCGGCAAACAAAAGAGCGCGACGAGACGCTTCAGATGAGTACTTTAAAGTTGAATTTTGAGGTCACAGGTCGGGTCAAGGTCAGGTCAAACACCTGAAATCGGGCTTTCAGTAGCATGGACTTCAGGACTTCACAATGGGCGCCTCTCGCCATAAACTCTGTCAAAACGGTGCACGATCCACCCTATAAGACCTACAAGAGTGTCAGCTCCATATAGGGGTCAGTCAAGCATAGGTCAGGGTCAAGGTCAGGTCAACCGGGTAGGCACATATCCCCGAAAATCAAAACTGATATTCGCAGCCTGTGACACATGTTTTATAGGTAATTTGGGGCGTAGAACACGATGGTGACATTCATTTTATCATATGTGTACGTGTTTGGCTCAAAAACTTCAATTTAAGAAATTCATGTATCATGGTCGTGAAGTAGTCACGAAAAATTGCCAAGATTCAGTTCAAGATTTTGGAAAATGCGGAACGATAATCAATAATCGAAGATAGCCATTTGATTAAACATGGTATTGGCAGTCTAATGGCGTTTACGGCATGTCTATATGTCTATTCTATGATTTTATATGATTTTTTGAACATATGCCGTTTTTGGTCGAAAACTCAGAAATCATGACGTCACTAAAACCTCGATATCTCAGAAAATTTCCGACCGATTTTTTTGAAACTTTGTCACAATAAACTTCAATCAATTCCCTACAGGTACCCAAAATTTGGCGCGCCTGCGGTGCGCCGTTGTTATGCTATGGCCCGGCGAAAAAAGTGGGGGCGTTTAACGCCCCCCCAGCAACTCGCGGGATAAGAAAGCGGTGATTGAGACGCTCTAGGCGGGCCATGTGGGTTACAGCAGCCCCTGACCATATGATGCTGGCATACTCAATCACCGACCGGACGTGGGCGATATAGGCAGTCATCACAGGGCGATGGTCGAACCTAGTTCCGCGCATACATGGTGGTGTCATTTTCCAAAAAAAAAAAATGTCTGACCGATACCGACAGAAACCAAACTTTTGGAAAAAAATTTCCGACCGAATACCGACCGATAACATAGTTACCAAGCCAAAATTTGACCGAAATTTGACCGAAATTCTATTTGCTATTACTCTACCCCAAAATTAAAATATTTGGTAAATTCTGATGGAAAATAATGGGAAATGGCATTTCAGTCCAAGTTCAGTCAATTCTTAGCCACTGCAAAATACATTTTGTGGTATAAGTTACATTGTGCCAGGCCAGCTAGAACAGCTCTTTGTCACACTATCCGACTAGGTTTTCACTGGCTGTGGTCATTTCAGGTCAAGCTAGGTCAAGGTCAACGATGTGTGTTTGTATGTCTTTGTGTGCCTGCGTGTATACTGATGTGTGCACCGATTGGTTTACAAACCCCTCCCACCGAAGAGACACGGTTTTCTTTACGGCGCCCGCTCAGGGTGACGCTGATCAGTAAACACATCATATTCACGTGTGCGGCATCATAGCTTCTGCCAGAAGTTCCTCATACATGTTTTGGGTGATATCGCGAGCCGTCGCGTTTTCATGGAAGACAGCCTGCGGACGATATCCAAACAGGAACAGGTCGTGCAGGTAGTGTCGCAGCACGCCCTTCAGCACGGCCGACGGCACAGTGCTCACCAGGCTCTCCGTGACGCCCGGGGTGGCCGACCGGTACCCCTCGGGGAACTTGACCGAGGTGATGTTGGCGGTCCGCAGCACGAGCCGGGCGTCCTCGTCGAGGGTGGCCGTCCTGCCGAGCACCGTGTACGGGATGGTGCACGGGTGGCACAGGTCCACCATCGGACGCCAGTGTTCGTCGTGCTGCGCTTTCTTGCTGTTCGTGTCTAGGTCCACAGGACCCGCCCGAACTATCCACTCAGCGAACTTATCGAATGTGACCGTCGGCAGCTCATCTAGAGGGAGGGATGTATTTTGGCGATTGTGAATTGAAATGCTGCCGTTGGGCTGACCCATTATCTTTGCCGCATATTGCTGGCGATATACGGTATTGCCTGGGCTTAGTTTGTCGCGGTAAGCAGAGGCCATCCTCTCGAGGGGGTGCCGCGTGAACATGAAGGAGGTGTACGTCTCCAGCCGGCGGCGTATTTCGGGCTCGGGGAGTTGTGCCAGGCTAGGGAAAAGGTTTGGCTCGTGCGCATGTCCAGAATTTATGCTATTGAAAGGTACGTTTGGAAACACTCCGGACAGTATACCAAAGAGCTTCTTCCACTGCGTGCAGGAAACCTGAAACGGGAACAAACGGTGATTAGTGACCCGTTGAGATGTGGCCAGTAACAGCCAAAGGTGCAAACGTGATCAGAGCGAACAAGGCAAACAGATGAGGGTGATCGATCGACCCTCCCTTTAACCCGGCACCGCCTGGGCTATTTCCGTACCCACGACAGCCGGGGGGGGGGGGGGGGTCGGATCCGACTCCCCTGTTATCTGGAGAACTAATGGTCGTATCGATCCCCGCAAAGCGGCGTTCGAAAGATCTCTACGAGACCTTCCCAAAACACTTAAGATTTTAAGATTGAGGTCACCTTTCGGATCAAGGCCAGGTCAAAGGTCAAATTCTGGGGTTTTGCATGATGAGGCTTACGGACAGCGGAATCGAAAGCTCCTGCTGGAAACTCACCCAGAATGACCTCAAAGGCCTAGTGAAGATACCATGTGCGTATAAGGGTCATACTAAGCACGGGTCAAGGTCAGGTCAGGTCACGAAAGGTCACGGTTTTCACTTTCTGCTACATGGGCATGCGACACATGTTTTATGGCTTATTTTTCACGCCAAATCCGATGGTCATGGTTATATGCAACCCAGTCACTTTCCTGGTCATCAGCAACCATAGAAAATCGTTTATATTATCCCGCGCCGGGCTGGTGCTCTGCGACTTCCGCGCCGGGCCGGGGGGGGGGGTGTGTCTGAACACCCCTCCCCAACAACTAACTCGGCTCCTGGGCCGCGTAGCAACACGCGGTAAGCGGCATTCGAAAGAGCGTCTAAAATAATGATGGAAATACTTCAGTCATTTTTCGGGTCAGGTCAAAGTCAGGTCGCCAGACTCCAGAGGTCATCACAAAGGTCAAATTCAGGCCATTTCAACAATTTTTGAAACTGCCGACGGCTATTTCGGGAACCAATAGAGCTACAGCGCCGCGGAAAAGCGCATTCGATAGCCCTTTTACGGGTCTTTCTGAGCATTGTCCTCAGATTTGACCTCAGGTCAACGGTTTAGCCTCCAGTGAGCAAAAAAGTGTTAAAATAACCGTTTTTACAAAAAAAGTTTTTTTCGGTAATTACTTTTGATTCAAACAAGCCACAACATTACTTTTGCCAGCATCGTGTTACTCTCGTCGAGACGCGTCGAATTAACCCTCGCCGACACAGGGGGGGGGGGGGTTGATGCAACCCCCCCCCTAAGGCTTTTCGCGAATAACTCGCGTAAAAAGCGGCCGATCGCGACGACACTTTCAGTACCCTCGCATTGATCAATTTTACACGTTCCCTGAAAATTTCATGACCCTGACCCCAATGACCTTTGACCTGTGACCTCTTTTCCGTGACCATGTTTGGCCGAAATCGCGATTCAGCGTATGTCGGCTCGCATTAGCCGCGCGTTTGCAAGCTTTTCGTGATTTCAAACGTTGAAACATGTGGTTTGATGTTGCTCCCATACATTAGGGTGGATGTCAAGGTCACCTGAAGGTCAGGTCAGGTCATTGACCTTTGGTGACCTCGGGTGACCTCGGTTCACTTTTTCGAGTTTTACATGTTTCTAGGCTAGTTTTTGGAGCTGAAATCGAATTTAGCAACCATTTGAACATTTACTAACTACTAAGTAGTTTTGGTGCCTTCGTAACTTGTTACGAAGCTGCCAGAGGCGGTTGACACGTATTACGAATACCCGTCACAACCCCTACCGGTTGACCTGACCTGACCTGACCCGACCTGGTCTAAATGCTTAAAAACATCATCTCTGATCAAAACTAACACGATATTCGTGATCAGCACCCCGGAAAACCACATAGCAGCCACACTTTACGAACTTCTAACAGGTCCCGATTTTCCCGGTTTTCGGGTCATTGACCTGACCTGGAAGGTCATCCGATGACCTAGGACCTTAAAATTGGGTATCATCGGCTTCCTCTCGTGACGGGCAACACGCTCGTTTTTCCGCGAAGCTATAGCACGATCAGGGGCCAAACGCAAGAGGGGGGGTCGTACCAACCCCCCCCCCCTTGTGCCGTCGAAGGACGCAAAATGGCCTGTGCCGGCGAGGGTTAACCATGTTACCACCCTGTCGCATTTTTTGCGTGTGAATAAAAAAGAGCGGCGTGTAGCGCCGCGCCGCTTGGAGTAGTTTTTTTTGTACATCAATTTTGGATAATGTGTGAAATTTTAACCCCAGGTCATGTCAGGTCAGGTCACCAGGTCAAGTTAACTGACCAAGCCTAAAAAAATGTTTGCAATCATGTCCAGCCTACAGCCTACAGGACCTTAAAATTGGGTATCATTGGCTTCCTGTCGTGACGGGCAACACGCTCGTTTTTTTTCCGCGAAGCTCTAGCTCCATCAGGGGCCACACGCGAGGGGGGTGGTACCAACCAACCCCGTCGAAGGACTCAAAATGGCCTGTGCCGGCGAGGCTTAAGGTCCTAGGTCATCGGTTGACTTTCCAGGTCAGGTCAATGACCCAAACATCGGGAATGTCGGGACCTGTTAGAAAGTCATAAAGTGTGGCTGCTAAGGGGCTTTCCGGGGTGCTGATCACGAATATCGTGTTAGTTTTGATCACAGATGATGTCGTTAAAGGTAGTGTGCCACCTTTGAAAGATTTCCCATTTTATTTTTCCTAGGATAAGAAGCTTCTGTTTTTACCTAATATCGCAAAAAAAAATCAAAAATGGGCCTGGAATAGTGCCTTTTTCGCCTAAAAGTTTTTCGGTTTTTAGATATGTATAACAACTGTAGTGGGCTCACCTGCAAACAGGCGTCGGGCAACAATCGCGAATGCGGCGCACTTGTGACAATAAGCAAAGGTCATTATAGTGTTACGACCATACGACGTACGGGAATGAGTTATCAGCTGTCTAATCGTAGACAACACAATGTCGAGCCTTAAACTGTAAGCCCGTATTGTATTGTTTCTTTTATTTGGCTGTCGAACATTATTTATGGTTTGAAATATGATTTTATGTAAAATAATTGATATGAAAAAGCCGTCTTATAAGTTATGACCCCATTTCACCACACGCAAGTGGCAGAAATGACAATGATCAGCTGACCCATTTTTCTTGGCCGAAGTCAGAGCGCGCGGCCCGACGCACCACGCGTATTTGGAAATTCCGACCTCGACGAGCATCAGAAGCCACCTAACAGGCGTGTTCGAAACCGCAGGAGATGATGATGAACGGGTTTATCGAAACTTGATTGGATGAGCATATCGGTAATAGCGATTTCAGTGTGTGCATTTATTGTTCATAGTGGTGTGAAATGTGGTTGGGGTACGACCGACAACCCGTCGGGGCGAATTTCGCACTGGGGTACTCAAAATTTGAAGAATTTAAGACGTTTCCATGAGTTTTGAAGGTATGGATAAGTTCTAAAAATCCGGTTCTCCTTATCTGGGCCATTAACTCCATACGGTCCAAGAAAGCTGGCACACTACCTTTAAAGGAAATAGTTCACTTTTAACATGGGGTTTGGAACTGGAATTGCAGTTTTGTTGCTTGCGCTGAGACTAGCACAAATCAGAAGTTTTTACGGCCCAACGATCACCCTAGACGAAGATATTCCATTTTTCGTTCCGAAAAGAGTGCCTTGCAGATGAATGCGTGCCTTGCTGAGGAATGCAGTCACGTCATCGTCAGCCAATCAGAATGCTGCTTACAGCCGATGGGTTTGTCCTACGCAATATGATTGGTCAACGCGTAATAAGCTTCCGCGCCAAACATTATTTTATATAGAATATAGTTCTTCTTATACTAAAATATAGAAAATAATCCTTTTTACAAAACGTTTTGCTTTATTTTCTGATCATTTTGAGCATAAAAAAACATAAATCCATAGCAAAATACTAATTTCAGGAAAGTGAACTATTTCCTTTAACCCGCGCCCCACTGGGGTCTGTGTATAACACGCCCTACTGGGGGGGGGGGGGGCTATTCATAGCCCCCCCTCCTAACTCCGAAACTACTGGGCCGATCGTCAAAATTCAAACGGCGTCTGATAGCCCCGGAAAAACTGTCGAGCGAAACCTAATTTCATTGACCTCAAGGTCACCGATGACGTCACAGGTCAGGTCAAAGTAAAAATTATTAGCACTTTAGCTTGTTCACATTTTGGGCTCTGGCCGCCGTCTTACAAGTCAGATCAGGCTCATTTTTGGTTTCCACACTCGTGTACAGATGCTCTAGATACCTTGAGGGTACCAAACTTGTACCTTGATTTTCAGGTCAGGGTCAGGTCATCACAGGTCACGAAAATATTATATCATGCGTCGGTCACGTGACACATGTTTTATGGTCCATTTAGGCCATAGATTTCGAATTTGATGTCGTATGTGTCATTCGAGGTCATTTTGAGTCGAATTTAGCTTAGGTCAGGTCACTTTCAGGTCAAAAAAGGTCAAATTTTGAAGTTAAAATTTTTCAACAAAAAAGGTGTCTATTGGATGCAGTTTGAGCTCAGGAACACGATGGTGCTATTTATATTGGTGTACGATGTCAAATACGTACTGAAAAATTGATTTGAAAAATTAATAATTGTAAATTTTTTGCAATAATGCGTATAACTTGGCCATTTTTGAAGATATTTAGCTAAAACTGGCTAGAGTTAGTCATAATCATGCGTTCTGTCACATATATTCCGGTTTTTTCGAAAAGTCAAAAACTTTTTGAAAAAAATATAAAAATATAAATTTTGAATATTATTATATGAAATTTTCGTAATTTTCAAAATTTTGAAAATCCGAGATAGCAGTTTGATAGCGCGGTCAATTCTGAGTCCTTTCATGCAAAGAAATTGGATCTAGCTGAAAAACTGAGCTCTTGGGAGCGATTGCCGTGGTTCAATGTTTTGCGTCGAAATCGGACGAACATGACGTCACTCTGACGTCATTTCCGGCCGACCTATGGTAGCTACGAAGTTCAAATTTTGGCACAAGGTGTCAAATTGATGCAGCCGAAGGTACTGAAAGTTTGGCGTCGATCCGTCAAGCGGTTTGGAAGTTATTGCAGAAAAACGGGAGGGGGGCTATAAATAGCCCCCCCCAGTGGGGCGCGGGTTAAGCGTTTAGACCAGGTCGGGTCAGGTCGGGTCAGGTCAGGTCAGGTCAGGTCAACCGGTAGGGGTCGTAACGGGTATTCGTAGTACCTGTCATCCGCCTCTGACAGCTTCGTAACATGTTACGAAGGCACCAAAACTACTTCGTAAATGTTCAAATGGCTGCTAAATTCGAAATCAGCTCCAAAAACTAGCCTAGAAAAATGTAAAACTCGAAAAAGTGAGCCGAGGTCACCAAAGGTCAATGACCTGATCTGACCTCCATTCTGCCAAAATCGCGGCTCTGCGGCCGTTTTTTGCGAAGCTATTCACCAAAAACTGAATCGTACCTTGGGGCACTTGACCTGACCTCAGAGGTCACCGGTTGACCTCTGCTCCTACCGTGAACCTAAACTATAATCCTATTCATGCTATATAAAAAAGGCAAGACACCTACTCACCTTTGGAACGTAGCAGTACATCAGTCGATGTTCATCATTGTAGATAAGCCAGCGGAGCAGCCATGGGCGTTCGATGAGATAATCGAATGTTTTCAAAGACTTTGTGCTAATACAGCGTTTCTCTAAGAGTTCCCGCCGGTACTGTTGTGCCATCATATCAGCTTCAGCAACTGCGGAAAATTGTTCTGAAATTAAAACAGCGAAGTTAAGATCTGAACAGCAGTAGTTTCTGAACAATCCTTAGGAGCGTTAACCCATGTACTTTACTATTGACATTTTATAATATGTTCTTTAACCCGGCCGGGCCCGGGGGTAATCCCAACCACCGCAGCCCGGGGTGGCGTTTTTTCGCCCCCCCCCCCCCGTCTAACTCCGTAAATAAGGAAGTTACGGAAACAAAGGCGATATCAAACGAAAACTCCTTACGAGACGATTCTAAAGCACCTAAAATTTTTGACCTCAGGTCAGTTTTCAAGGTCAGAGGTCAAGGTCAAAGGCAAAAACCGTCACATGTGTAGTGATATCAAAATAAGCGTTCTAGAGGACGGCAGGATGCATCAATCCGGCAAAATTGGTTGTCAAAGGAAGGAAAGAAGAGAATCTGAGGACTTCGAAACTGTGCTCAAAATCAAAGGTCAAGGTCAAGGTCACGCTCAAAATTGACCTCAAACTTTGCACTTTTTCGTAATCTTGCGCAAGAACTTCCAAGATGTTTTGAAATGTTTTGAGGCTTATCGGTTCCCTATTTGTGGTTAATGGGCCTTGGCCCGAAACGGTTTACTGGGTTTACTGTGTGTCGCTACGTGGCCCAGGAGCCGGGTTAGAAGGGGGCGTTCAGACACCTCTCCAGCAGGTCATGGAAATCCAGAATTCCCAGTGAGTTGTTGGGTATGCTTTCGTTAAAAAAAAGAACAGTTCAGTTTTCAATCAATTGTGATACGACCATCTAACAAAACTATGCAATGAAACCAGATAGCAACAATGGCCGCTTAGAAATACCAAAAAACTCACCACTCACCAGATATGATGAACTTACCAGATGTGATGTTTATTCACATTCGATGACAACACAAAAGCAAATATTATAAATAGCCAACTCTAATGGCTATTTAGAATACTTGCTTTTGTGCTGTCATCAAATGTGAATAAACATCACAATGTCTGGCACGATACACTCACCAGATGTTTTGCTGATTTCTGGCAGTGATTTTAGAGTTTCTCCCCTACGACCGAGGGACGTTATTATGGAAAGCATTAAGAGTGCACTGAGTAGAAGCAGTGCTCTGCTAAAAGTTGTCTTTCTGGGATAAGACATCATCTGCAACAAAATAGTAAAAACCGGGGTGTATCTCAATAACATTGTGTGTTTTATTTTATAGCATTCTTGTAAAAGCATATCAATATAAGTGCTTGAAAACATCAATATTAATTAATATGTTATATCTTCTAGCTTCTACCCTGGAATTATTGGCAACTGTTGCAAAATTATTTGACCTTTTTTGTCTGATTGATTTATCAAGGAATCACATTTAATCAGGTAAGCAAGTACAAAGATCACAAATATATGAATTATATGTCTCCGTGAATACACCCACGACTCTACTAAACGAGATCACCTACTGTTTCTGGTCACCTAGAGCTTCATCGATCACCTTACGACCAAAGGCTACTTACAGTTTGCGATGCGCCGCCCTCCACCCGAGCTAAGGGTCGGTGGTGTGGACTGGAGAGAGGGAGGCGGTGCGACCTGTGCAGTCGGCTGGCGCAGACTGCTCGCGGTTCTCGGGTGGTGTGTCGGCGGTCAGCGGCCGCGTCGTGACGTGTGGCGCCTACCCAGGCGGCGCTTATCAGCGCACTGTGGGCTGTTCGGATGTGCTAGATTCTCAAGACACCAAATGTTTTCTGGGAGCTAGACTATGAAACTTAAGTAGGTTCCTCCCGCGCCCTGCTGGGGGTCTTGGATTTCCTTCCACGCCCTGCTGGCGGGGGGTTTGAACATCCCCCTTTTTTAACTCGGCTCCTGGGCCACGTAGCGATACCGGAAAGGCGGCGTTCGAAAGAGCGGCAAAATAAGGAAGAATCACTTCGGTCACTGTTTTTGGACAGGTCAAAAGTCAGGTCACCAGAGATCATTGAAGGCCAAAATTCACCGATTTGTAGGTCAGATGTCGACAATTCTCAACAAATCGTCGTACAGCTCGGAAACTAATAAACATACAGCGCCGCGGAAAAGCCCACTTGATAGCCCGTTATGCGCCAAAATCCATATAGAAGTGGACATTAGGGTTCAAATTGTTATTTTGAGTAAAATATAAGTCATTTGCTTCATTAAACAGTTGTTTCTCTATGTGGCGATCATTTATGAAGCACTCTACACAAGTTACAAACGAGCGATATCATAATAGCTCCATGATTGCCAGTATACCGGTTGCGGCCAAGTGCGACGGTGGCGCCGACTCGTTAGGCGGCACGGGTGGACATCGATAGCAGTGCCTCTAGCGGTCACTAGGGAAAGCTGGGCTGTAGGCGACGAAATACCGGCATGAGTTGTTAAGGCCTGGCTACACTGCGTTTTCTGCGTGCGTTTTTTGCGAGCTTGCGTGATTTGCGGAATATCGTTCTAGAAAGAAACGACATTACTTTTTATGTTTTTCATAAAAACTTTTAATTAACATAAACGTTTTATTAATTGCTGAGCTCATCGAAGCGATTGCCGTGGTTCAATATCTTGCGTCGAAATCGGCCGAACATGACGTCACTCTGACGTGATTTCCGGCCGACCTATGGTAGCTACGAAGTTCATATTTTGACACAAAGTGTCACATTGATGCAGCCGAAGGTACTAAAAGTTGGGCGTTGATACGTCTAGGGTTTTGGAATTTATTGCAGAAAGGAGAGGAAGGTTAGGAAGTTATTGCAGCGGGAAGGGGGGCTATGATTAGCCCCCCAGTGGGACGTGGGCTTATCATGGGGAGGTCAATAAATTGACCTGACCTTAGGTCATCGATATAAAAATTCCGAGATAAACAAGTTGTAGCTAGCAATGACATCATTAGGTACAGGGGCGGATCCAGGAATTTTCGGGAGGGGGGGGGGCGGCAAGTCGAAATAGGGGCGACCTGGCAATCCGGGGGCGCTCCATACAAAGGGGGCGCCAAACCGTCGAAATCCGGAGCTAAAAGCCTGCGCCGTGCTAGGGGGCGTTATCGCGCTCCTCCTCAGATTTTTCGCAAATAGGTATCTGAAAAACGGCTGCGCGCAGCGCCGCCATTTTCAGCATACCTTATCATGCATCTTTTTTGCACATGTAAAAATGTCTGACGCGGGTGATGGAAGGTCAGGTCACCAGGCTATGCCAAGTGACCTAGCCTTAGAAAAAGTTCAAATGCTTACCATTGCTATACCGACTGAACGATTGCTTTGAACCTTTCAGCGATTGATGAAAGCAACACTATTCATGAAATGTATATCTCGGAATTTCGATATCTGTGACCTAAGGTCAGGTCAGTTGTGCGACGTCTCCATTAGGTAGGTAGGTATAATTAGGTCTTTGGGAGAAAACTGAAAGGCATCTTTTTTGGACGAGCGCCATTCTAGACAATATCAAGCATTGGGATACATATAAAATTAACACACTGAATAAGAACATTGCACCTAGTGTGACCACTCATTATGTCCCAGAAGTCATCCCATGTCATGAAAGGTCCGCAGCAGTTTTTTTTAATAACTTTTGATAGATTCAAGCTAGAGCGATAAAAACACCTCAGCTGTGTTCAGCTCGACGATACGCATCGACTGCTATGCAGCATGACCTTCCCCGGTCAGGTCATGACCTTGACCTTAGGTAAATTCTCAAAATTACCTTTCTTAACCCTCGCCCTGGCAGGGCATTTTTCATAACACGGCCTGGCAGGGGGGGGTCGATGCGACCCCCCCCCCCCCTCGCGATTGGCTCCTATGGCACCTACAGGGTGTTTCATAAAGAATGTCAATTTTAAATTTGCCATATTAGCCATATAAAACAATATATTTGCATAGTTTTTAGATTCACATACACCAGAAGACTTGGACATTTGATTTTTGTCTGTTCACTTTTCTCTATCTAGACAAACGGTTCCACCACAGCCCCGTGAAGATCAACGCACTTTCGGTCCCGTCCACGGATATGGCGCACGGCCCGGAGCACTTCTTCGCAGTCCATGGGGGAGTCAACGAAGTCTTGCTCAAGTCTAAAGTGAACTTTAAAGTGAAGGGTTAACTCTAAAGTGAAGCCGAAACTTTCTCATAAATTTGGAGATGTTCTTAAGGCTTCCGAACTGTAGCACTATCCACGCCTGCTGTTCTTTCGAAAATGGCGTATTTATCATTTGAGCACGGCGAGCCGCGAGGTGAACCCGACATATCCCGTTCTGAAAAAAGGATGACAACAACTTTGGCATTGAATGCTATTTATATAAAATGTCCATCAATTTCCAACAATGCTTGAAAGTTTGCACGTGCTAGACACATTTTTTCTTTTTGAACTCCCCAGTTTAAAATTGACATTCATTATGAAACACCCTGTAGAAACACCAAATTTGGTAGGTAGGTGGGCCCCCTAGAGTTCTCGCCCCTGTGCAAATTTGGTTGCTCTAGGTCAATATTTAGGGGGGTTTTGGGGGGTATAAATGTAAAAATTTCGCTAAAAACAGGTCAAAAGTTTTTCGCTTATAACTTTTGATCTAATTAAGACAGAGCAAAAAAAAGCACCAGTGAACTCAGCACGTCAAGGCGCGTCTAATGATATACTTTTTAGCTTGCATCAGTGTTCTTAAAGTTTTTCTTAACCCGCGCCCGGCTGGGGGTCCTGGATTTCCACGCCCTGCTGGGGGGGGGGGGGGTGTTTGAACACCCCCCCCCTTGTAACTCGGCTCCTGGGCCACGTAGCGATACGCGGAAGGCGGCGTTCGAAAGAGCGTAAAAAATAATGACGAAATCACTTCAGTCAATTTTTCGGTCAGGTCAAAGGTCAGGTCACCAGAGGTCATTGAAGGCAAAATTTCGCCGATTTCCAGGTCGAATGTCAAAAATTTCCAAGAAGCCAACGCATAACTCGGGAACCAATAGAGCTACAGCGCCGCGGAAAAGTGCATTCGATAGCCCTATTAACGCCCTTTCTGAGTAATTCCCTCAGATTTGACCTAACGTCAACGGTTTTGCCTGCAGGGGGCAAAAACTGCAAAAAAAGCCGATTTTTTCGGAAACAGTTTTTCTGCAATAACTTTTGACCCAAGCCATGTACGAGCTTACTTTTACCGGCATCGTGTTCCTCTCGTCAAGACGCATCGAATGAACTATAACTTGACCTTGAAAGGTCAACTTGAAAATTTGACCTCAGGTCAAGGTCATTACCTGACCGGAAAGGGTCATGTTGCATATCAGCCGATCCGTATCGTCGAGCTGAACACATATAAGGCGTTTTCATCGCTCTAGCATGCCTCTATCAAAAGTTATTTGCGAAAAACTGTTAGATACCATTCGTGACCTAAGATGACCTCAGGGCACAAACAAGGGTCACGGACACCATTTTCATGTTCATTGTGTCTTAACCACTTGTAATTCGCTGTTTGGGAGTGTTTATAATGTCTTTCGTCCAAAAGAGGCGCATTTCAATTTTCTCCCATTGACTTATAATGGGGAGGTCGCAAAATTGACCTGACCTTAGGTCATCGATATCAAAATTCTGAGATATACATTTTGTACATGCTATTGATCTTAGCAATCGCTGAAAGTTTCCAAGCGATCGGTCACTCGGTGTAGCTATGACAGACATTGAAACTTTTATGAGGTGAGGTCACTTCAAGTGACCTGGTGACCTGACCTTGAAAGACCTTGGTCTGAAATTTTCACAACATGTGTAGAATTGATGTATGATAAGGTGTACCAAAAACGGCGGCGCTCCGCGCCGCCGTTTTTGAGATATTCGCGAAAAACCACAAGGGGGGTGTTCAAACACCCCCCAGCAGGGCGCGGGTTAAATTTTAAGTAAACTTTAATTAATTAATTAAGTTCAACTTAACCAAATTGCATCATATCGCATATCATTCGACTCGGCTGATCACCAGGAACACAATGATACCATTTTTTAAGCTCTAGCGTCATTATGTGCCAAGTCATTGGCAAAAACGTCATTTGACCTCAGTTGACCTCATTTGACCTGACCCATGGATAAGTACACCAAACAAAGAGGCACCAAGTGACCTGCTGTTAAGTACTGTGGTTTCAAAGCACAAAAGTGGTAGAACGAAGCGGATATCTCCAGTATTTTCCGAATTTAGTATTTTCCCGTAGGCTTAACATTACGACGTAATGACCTCTAACTGACCTCAGGTCAGTGACCTCAAAAAACCCGAACTATATCTTATACAACTCGGTGAACTTAGCACATCCTGAAAGTTTGAAGGGAATCAGTCCAAAACTGTGAGTTGGACAGGTGCAAAAAGAAAATTGAAATTTTACCATGACCTTGTACCGGTTTTTCTGACCTGGTGACCTGACCCAAGGTGACCCGGACCTGAAATTTTAAGGACATATGTGAAAAGGTTGCCCCATAGGCTGTGCCAAATTTGGTGGCACTGCGCGCCGCCGTTTTTACGCTATCTTCGAAAAACCTTAGGGAGGGGTCGCATCGACCCCCCCCCCCCTGCCAGGGCGAGGGTTTTTTTTTTTTTTTTTTTTTTTTTTTTTTTTTTTTTTTTTTTTTTTCTACGCCGCCACCCATTAATAGGTGACCAGGAGTGCCCC